TAAAATCAAGATAGCCGTTAACCCTGTTAAATTATATATAAATCATCAAAGAAAGGTAAATATAGTGGTACATCGTGTAGCATAGCTCTGAACGAATGTTGTCATGTAAAATGCATTGTGTAATAAAATGTCTCGAGACGAGATGTCAAGGCGAGTGTCATAACCATTAGACCCCGGAGGCTACATGGTTGAACCATGGTTAAACAGATTCAAATAACCGCCAGCTACATTGTATTACACAATGATGGTGAACCTCGAGAGGGCGTTAAGACTGAGAATAAATTGTAACATTAATATTTTTATTTCTGAATTCAGGGGGATAGGATAAGTATTTTAATTACTTTCTCTTCTGTACTACTCTGTACACATGGGTTACAGAAACAAAACTGAAATTATAATAAATCTGCTCCAAAACTTATTTGTCACATCAAAAGTCCTTGGTCAAATTTCATTTTAAAGTTGTTTTAGCTATTGAACTCTTTATTGTGTAGCAGGCTATTCATACCCCTTTACAATGATTGCTTCTGTTCTAGTCCAATAACGTTCCTAAAATCTTTCGGTCCGTTACATAGTCACACATAGTCATGTGCACATACATCCACCCCCACCCACCCGAGAGCTGTACCCCATGCCTACGCTAGCTGTACAACAGGAATACAGTCATGTAATACAACTGAAACAACAAAATCCGCTCCAAAAAATGTATCTGTTACATTTTATTTAAAAGTTGGGTTTTTTTTTTTTAGCTGTTGACTATTATTTGTAGGCCTAATCCTTATTTTGTACACGAAACACTAAATCTAAACATCAAAATTCCGTATTTGGTGTGAGGCCGATCGCAGAAACCTGTGTTGAATCGATCCAAGTATGAGCCGTGCATAATTTGCTGGCTGATGACGAAATAATTATTTTGATGAATATTTAAACAATATTGCTCGTGGCTGGTAGATTTAATCTTTACCAAAATTACAACCTATTTTGTCCCAAAGGACGCCCTCTATTCTGTCCAAGGAATACCACTTATAAAGGCCTAGTTCAGACTGGCAGGTAGATAAACCCGGTGAGTTGAGCCTGGTTTATCTACCTGCCAGTCTGAACTAGGTGGCTTATCTCAAGCCGGGCTATGTTCCTATAGTAACTAGGCCTGGTTCGCCACCGTGTTTAACTCTTCAGAGCCGGGCTTCAATCGTTGCGGGGGGTCTTGCATTGACTTCGGGTGACGAAATGACCAATCAGCATTCAATTACGTACGCTGTGAGCGAGCG